CTTTGAGATAGGGTCTTGGAATATAAGACCTGCAATTTGCTATAGTCTGGTCTTGCCTTGAACCTGGAATTCTCTTGCTTCAGCTTCCAGGTGCCACGCCAATTTACTTATTTTGCAGTTGCAAAATACTATTGGAAAATTCTATAGTAGAACCTTTTATACAGTGGAAACAGTCTCCAAAATGCCTCTGTAAAGTGTGTTCAGAGTGGGCTGCTAAAAGCCTCTCAGTCCAGTGCTTTTTTTTTGAGACAGGGTCTCCCTGTATCCTCAGTTGGTCTGAACTCACTACATACATAGACCAGGCTGGCCTCAATTTCAGCGACCCACCTGCCTTTACCTCACAAGTGCTGAGACTAAAGGCTTGTGCCCTACACCTAGCAGGACTAAGAAGCCCCAGGTTAGCAGTACTGGAGCCTAGAAACCAGGGCTGGCCTGCAGGGACTGCCTCTCTGGCCACATGGGTTTGCCCTGGTGACTGCCCTGAACATACCTGGGTGTTCAGGCCGTCCAATACGGGAAGGGGGGGGGTCATATTAGAACCCTAGGTATTTGGGAAGGGAAAGTAGATATGCGGGCAAGAAAATGGTGGACAACAGTTCCTGTCCTACCCCCAAGCTTCCAAGCCACTGGCACACAGCAGGGAGCGCCCTGCCTGCCACTCATTCCTCTCAGAGCCCAGCTACCTTGGAGTCACCCAGGGCAGGATTTCTTCCACAGACCTTATCCCAAAGTAGCTAGCTGTCCTCTTTCCTGACTGTGAGACATCTTGGTAGGAGAGTTCTGCCAGGTAGTTGCTTTGCAACTGCTCAGGATGCTTCTCCAAGGCAGGATCGAGGCTTAAGCCCCCGACTCAATCCTCCTGAAACTAAAACTTCTTTTCAGGGTTCAGTGGCAATTACTCTGAAACAAGAAATCTAACATGAGCCTCCATTCCTGCCAGTCATCTTGGCAGCGCAGGCTGACAAAGTGACATCCTGCCACTATCCCGACTTAGCTAGGAATCTCAACTTAGCTAGGAATCTCAAAGCAGCAACCAGCCAAAGAGCAGAATCATAACACAGGTTACATCCCAATGGGTACTTCCACTGAGAGAGCTGCTCCAGTACAGTGTGTGCCAGCTGGTGCCTGTGCCTTCTGGGACTTGGAAGAGCCTCCTATTATAAGGATCTTTCAATTGGCCAAATGGAGTGGAGAAGCATTTATCATGGACCCACTCTTTATTTTCTGAGTGAGCTACAAGGCATCAAGTGTCCTGCTCTATCACTTTCTATTTCTTTATGACAGGGTCTCTCACTAAACCTGGAGCTAGGCTGGCAGCCAACAAGCCCAAGATCCTCCTGATCCCCCACCCCTAGCCTCCATGCTTGAGCACCCATGCTACACCTGTCTTTTACATGCATGGGTGCTGGAGACTTGAACTCAGTTCTGCATGCTTGTACAGCAAGCACTGTTAACTACTGAGCCATCTCTCCATCTCCCCACATCTCTTTTTTAACTTGGAAGACAAAGCCTTCAATATGTTTAGCTACACTTGGCTCCTTTGGATGGTCAGGAGGGCCACCTGAATGCAGGTAGCAGATAGGAACTGAAAGCAGGCATTGAATTTTTTTTTTTCTTTTTAAGAACCTTAAATTTTTCAACAACCAGAGGTTTTTAGCCAAGCTATGACTTATAGCCAATGATCTGTAAGAAATCAGAACTTGCTCCTCCGTATCATAACAACCAAAATTCAGAAGTAAAATGAAAGCTGAGACCTAACAAATCCATTTGCATTAATCAAACATGCTTCTTCTCCCATCCCACTGATTTAAGGCATTAAGGCTCACATTTACATGATCCATACTAACAGCATCACTTAAGTATTTAAAAGGTTAGAACAAAGTAGAGGTAGGCAATCCAGATTGTTCTACATAGTGGGTTCCAGGCCAGTCAGAGCTACACAGTGAGAATCTGTCTCAAAAAACAAACAAAAAAGGATAAAACAAAAATATTGGCTTATTTACAAGCTTTAGAAGTGGATTAGGATAGACAGGACAGGCTCCTATTTTATTTCTTGGTGAACACTATTCTACTCCTCTCCAAAGTTTATGGCTTCTCTAGCTCTAAGAACCAAGGGAACAGCTCTTTACACAAGGCTGTTTCCTAGAAGCCCAAGAAAACAACAGGGAGGCGGGGTTACAAGGCAGAATTTTAAAGATTTTTTTATTTCCATGTTATGTGTAAGCCTGTGTGAATGTAAGTGCACCATGTGCATGCAGTGACCACTCAGGCTAGAAGAGGGCATCTGATACCCTGGAACTGGACTTACAGGCAGTTGTAAGCCATCCATGTGAGTACTGGGAACGAATCCCAGGTCCTCTGCAAAAGCAGCAAGAACTCTTAATCACTGAGCCATCTCTCCAGGCACACAAGTTATTCGAAATTTTTTATTAACTTATTAATTTGGATGAATTTTTGCTCCTTTCTGAGCTTGCTTCTTCAATAAGACTGGATTTCAAGAACCAAAGCCTTCCTTTTTACCACATCTTCCTTGTAAGTACAATAAAGCTTTGAGTGGGTCGGGGGGAGGTTGATCTCCCCATAAGAAAATCACAGAAGTAGGTGATCTGGGAACCCTTTTTTGTGTACCCTGCCTTTGAAAGATAAATGCTGATCCATGCCATCCCTTCCCCCACCACCCAAGACACAGTCTCAGCACTGGAGAACCACAATGGCTACTAAAATCCAGGGACTAACAATAGTTTGTGGGTGGCAACGACATTTATTCAGCTTCCATGGTCAGTGAGGCTACAGCAGAATCAATGCTATTACAAAGGCAAGCACTACTGCCAGTAGCAACACACCAATACACTTCTTTAGCAGCATCTGAGCCTCATAGGTTATTTCTCATTTTTTAGAAAAATCTTATAAACCAGTTGGGAAGCAACTGAAGGCTGATTTTAAATAACAATGCAAAATAAACTTCACTGAAAATACAATTCAAATGCAACTGCTATGAACTCTTCCTACATAATAGATCTCAAATGGTAAATACAATAGCAGCATTTAGGAACCTGGCAATTCCCAGTCCCAAGGCTCCCTTCCCCAGATCATTCCTCTCACTGCCAGCCCTGCTCAAGAGGCCTGGAGGAGCAGGAGACATCAGCCTCTGCTTGTAGCTATTTGTCAATGCGGTTATTTATTGGGGACAGTGGGAGGTGTGTTTAAATGTTGGAGCTGAGAAGGGTCACCTTGTGCTTTTGAACAGGAAGCCTCTGACACATGCTGATCCTGTCCAAGAGACCTAGTCAGTATCCTAGAAATTAAACAGCTGAGACTCCTGCCATTTTCTCCAACTTTCTCCACAGCCCAGGGCCCATCTTAAGCTCTGCTGTTGGTCTTCTCAGCTGAGGTGTGACTTGGAGAGCACAGCTATACCCCCAGAAAGGTCATTCAACAGGAACCCACTAGATGAATCCTACAAGGGCACTTTCAAAGCTCTCATAGAACATTAGAGATTAGGCTGGAGTTAACTTCAGTAAACCTGGGACCACAAAGCCTCAGGTAAGCTGCCAAATGTATCTAAGATCTCAAGGACAATAGACTGTAATCTTATTCTAGGATACACCTTCCATTCATTTTGGTATTAATAGCTGGAGATGCTTGTTTAGCAGATTATATGGCACAGTTTTTGTTCATTCTCCTTTAGCTTTGCCACAGTACTTCCTTCTTAATTTTGAATATTCTGTGCTGACATGGGGAAAGTATATGTGAATACATTAGCAAATTTATGTGAGAAAATAAATCTGAACATTCTCATGATGAAATCCCAGTGGGTTAAGGCAGTCTTTTCTTTTTTCTTTTTTTTTTTTGGCTTTTGTTAGACTGGGATTATGGAGGCCAGAGTACATAAAGAGGTATTCAGAGTGCCAGGATAGGAAAGATGAAGCGCATGTCCTAGCAGCAGGAGGTCACTGTTGTCAGTTGTTTCAGACCACATCCTCACAGGTTGGCCTGAAGAGAGCTGGCCTTGGCCAGAAAACTGCTTTTCTTTACACAGCCACTTCCCAGGGGCAGGCATGCCTCACCATACAATGCAGGTCTCACCACTTTCCTGGCTCTTCATCATCCTGCCTCCAACAGTTCTCCACTTCTGGGCCCAACATCCTTGTCACATTATACCAATATAATAATTTGAGGATTTGTGTAGTTATACCAGTATATTAACTGAGAGTTAAGCCACTGTGCCTCACAAACAATGGTGGCTATGGAGAGACACATGTTGACCATGACGCACACATAGGTTTCTGACGGGACTCACAGTTTTCAGACTGGAACTAGTTGAGCTGCTTTCAAGTGCTTACATCCTTAGGCAGAAGGTACCCTTAAAAAGGAAGTGATCCTTAAAAACACTGACTCCCAAGTTAAGGCCCTTAAGAGGGCCTTTCAGCAGATTACTCTTTAGGAGCCGGCCAACTTGCCACAGACATTGAGCTGGTGACTGAAGAGCCAGATGCCATTTAACTACTTGGCCAAAGACCCACAGAAGGATGTTCAAAAGGGGAAAGAAAATCCACTTTTAAGAACAAGAACTACAAGTGACTAGATGCCATGGTCTTGCTTAGTTGGAAGCAGAAGTCAAGACCTAAGGGGCAGAGTGTCCTCACTGTGGTGAGACAGGTAACCTCTAGCTGAGCACAAAAGTCAAACATATTTGATTCTAGTTTTGCTCTCAAGTTCTCCCTCTGTCCACGTATTGTCCTTCAAGAATGAAAGGCAGAAGACCAAGAGCACTGGCTGCTCTGAAATTAAAGCAGTAGCAGGAAAAAAAAAAAGGGGGGGTGGGCGGTGGAGTCTCTATACAAAGAAAATTCAACGCCAGCCAGCCTGGGTTAAATGGCAAGTTCCTGTCTGAAAAAGGGAGGAAAAAGAGCCTAGAGGCTAGAGGTAGAGTTAATCACTACAGATGTGCAATTGGTCCTTAAGATGCCCAACTGCTTTGCCCTTTTTCAGTGTGGGAGCCCTCAGGGAAAAACCACTATGGAAATGATTTTTGAATGCTTGGGCATCTTGGGAAGGCTCTTTGCCAGGGTCTACAGTTGAAATGAGTCTGCTTTCCTTTATCAAAGGTCACTTTCCCAGCAGCTCTTGAAACCACTTCTGTGTGACTGAGAAAAGGGACAAAGAGTATAAACTACAGGGCAAATGCCACCATGTGGAACACTCAACTTTATTCACTTTATTTATATATTTAACAGTTCTAAAGTATTTACTTCTTGCTTTGACAAAAAATGAAAAATATAGGAGCACTGACTCCTCTTTAGGAGAAAAGGGTTATATGTACAGCTACGGAGAGTTACGGTTCCTCCTTTACATACAAAGAAATATTAATAAAAAAGTGCTTCATTGATCAAAAAGGGCTAAGAGCTGCAAGCATTTATTCACACTGTACAACAGACCCAAGAAACCCGTATCATAACCTCTTGGCACCTGTCACTAGCAACTGCACAATCCTTAATTATGCCAACTTTTCCCTACCTGCACCTCCAGGCCATGTAAGTATAGAGGAGAACTTCACCCTGTTTCACTAAACTTGGCCTCTGTGTGATTTGCTGGAGTAAGCAATGCTCAGATGCTCTGGGCTTTGCCTCAGCTGGCAACATTGGGGAAGGCTTCTGGGCTTCATGGACTCACATTCGGGCACATGCAGAAGCCACCTTCCTGAGACACAGTGTGCCCTTGGCCAGGTAACAGCTTCCAAAGGGGGGGCGGGTGTGGGTACAGGTATAGACCAGGCTGGAACTAAAGTGTTCCCTGACCTCCCCCGGCCCCCAGACTACAATCTGACCTGTTAACAGTCTGCAGCTTTCAGTAGAGCCAAGCATGGCCCTTCCCCAGGAGGGAGGGTTAGGCCCAAAACATGGATGCCAACATTTCAAAGCACAGACCAAAACCACTCTCCATCATTCCCCACACCCACCTCCACCACAAATAATTACTGATTTAAGGCTCTTTTTGGACCACATCAAAGCTCATTGAGGAAATGTGCCCCAAATTTCCTGCAGGCCATGTCACTCTCTAAGGGACCCTGCAGTCACCAAGCGGCCCTTCACTGCTGGTGGCAGCCAGACATGTCTACTCAGGCAGCCAGAAGCAGGGCCCTTCCAGCTGCCCAGGGAGGAAGAGGAAGGCTGATTGTGTGGGGATATTTGTAACTCTGAAGGTGATTCTATCCCTCAAGGGGGGATGCATGATTGGTTTGGTTTAGGAATGGGGAACTTTTGGAACCCTGAGTCTGGATTTCCCTGTGTTGGCCAAGGAAGAGAGATTGTTTGTGGGACCAGGCCCCAGAGGGACTCTCAGGTGCCTGGCTCAGTGCAGGCCTTAGCCACAACAGCAGGACACTGTATTCTGGCCAGTCTGCACCTTTAGGCCTGGAAGCCCAAAGAGGCAGCCCCTTCAACTGAAGGGAGTCCTACACAATCTGGTCAAGTTAAAGACGGGATCTGTGAAGGCCAACATGCCAACTCCTCAGCCCCAGCCCCTCACTGCCTCTTAGGAAGCACATACCTTTCTTCTCAAAATGTGCCCCTCCTAGTGCCAATCCCATTTATTAGCTGTGAGGTAGGATGGCTCCACCCCTCTCAAGAACATGGGACAGGCACTCTTGGAAAAGGGGTTTCCAGCCTCCCCAGCAGCAAAGGTTTCCTAGTCATTTTAGACGTAGCTATGATGTGAGGAATGGTCACTAATGTTAGTGCTGACATTCTGTTCTGCTATCTCAGGCCTCCATTCTGGCTCCTTCAACTAGGAAGCATCAAGCCATCCCCTAGCATGCCTGACAGTAGGCAGCTCAGCAGTTACAGGGGGTCTGGCAATCTCTGGTCTTCCATTAAAAAAAAAAAAAAAAAAATAAAACAACCGGGGGCGTTTTTCTTTTTTGAAGGCAGAGTGGGAGCATGGAAAGGGAAGGGGAAAGGAAAAAAAAAAAAAATCAATCTACAATCCAGTGGTACATCCCAATCTGTCTCTCTGTACAGGTGGTTCCATGCCCCCATTCCAAAGTGTATGGGCCTCTCAGTCTGCCCAGGCTGCTGGGCCTGTCAGAGGAACAGCAGCATGGCCTCTGCCCACCCCAGGTCACTAAACTTCAGTTTGAAGTGGCAGTAATGGGCTTATCCAGTTCAAGGTCAATGCTGGAGCTCGTGGGATGGAGGCTGCTATAACAAGACTTGCATACTCGGCTGGGTTCAAAGAGCTGCTGGCTAGGAACTGGAACCTTCTGGTTACAACAACTGGAGCAGAATACGTTCCCACAATTCCTTTAAGATAAGAAGAAATAAAACAATGTTAGTTTCATCTAACAGTTATGTAGTAAGGAAAAAAATAAATAAAAAACTTCAGAAGGCAGCATTTGTTTGTGTATGGTCTAGATGTGCTAGAAACTCCTCTGAGATGAAACACTTTTATTTCTCTAGTTCAGGAAGAAGCTGAGTAGGGAAGATAGGTCTACCTAACAGAATCACATGATACTTTTACTTCAAAGCCAAGGATGACACTTGGCTGCCTCATCACTATGATGCAAGGTTATTAGATGTACAGGAAGATGGTACTGAAGAAAGATCTGTGGGAACAACAAATGGGTCCAGTGCAGAAGCAGCTGCCAGTTCCATAGTATGTCCTGACCTGGGAACCTACCCAGTGGCCATATCCAACTTGTACAATGGCCTTTGTGTAGCTTTAGGCAACAGGGAGGCCAAAGACAAATGGAGCTGGCTCATGGGCCTGTCACAAGAAAGGACTAACTACATAGACCAGCTAGAGATGAGGAATCTTGCCCAATGGCCACTGCTTCAGAGGCTCAGAGGCAAGTTGAGTGTAGACTGCTGCCATCTAGGTCTGTTGTGGTCAGCATGCAAAGCCAGAAGTCAAGCAGCCTATGACACATGCTCAGAGTGAAAGAAAGTGGAAGGACAGGAGCATGGCTGGGCACACATGCACACACACACATCCTTATTAGACACACATCCTTATCAGACAGTGGTCAGGCAGTTATGGTTCACTGCTCTGCCCCATGCACCTCCAGGGAAACTCGAAGCTCTACTTGAAAGCCTTTCTGTACCCAGACCCCCCTCTCCTCCCCACCAAAAGCCCTAATCTCTTGCATCTGTGAGGCACAGGTCTGTATAGCCAGGCCTATCACACACACAGGAAAGGGAACCAACACAAGGTGAATTTCTGCCCACCTTACAATCTTTTGCTGAGTCCTAAAGTACAAACCAATCCCAATCAGTACAGCACAGGGAACTCCAAGGCACCTAACATAGCACTTCAAAGATGAGAGGAGGTAGCTATATAGGAAAGCCTCCTCCTCACTAACTTCTCAGTCACCCTCAGAATGCAGACCACTGCTAGATAAGGATCACTCAGGTACAGAAGAGAGAATACTGAAGACCATACTGTAGAAGGGAAAAGTGGGACACGGGGCAGTGGAAGACAGAGAAGTAAAAACTTTGTTCCTAGAATGTAGGAAACACATTGTAACTCTGTTTCTAAAAAGTGTGAGTCAACAAGGACCTTGTGGTTACACAGGAAAATTTCTGAGTGCTTATATTTCTTTAACATACCTTTTAGCTTGACATGAATTTGATCAATTAAACTTTTCTACCTGACTTCCTTTCAGAGACCCTGAAAGACTTAGGTGGAGTTTCCCATGCTAAATAATTTTCTGGGAAGATCATTTCTGTCTCTATCAAAACAAAACAAGGCAGAGTAATGCTGTTTGACTTGAAAGTCAAAGAATGACTGACTACCCCGCCTCCCTCAAAAACCAGTTGAGCCCACTAGCTCCCCAAATGAGATCAGTCCCTACAGAAGCACCACTTTTCATCACAAGCATAATGGCCCAGCTGACCTGTACAGTCCAGAGGGGAGCACAAGGTTGCAGCAGACTCACTCTCAATAGTCTCCTCTGTTAGTTGGCATGGATCTCCCACGCCCATCTGCCTGCCTGTGCTCCCTAGCCTCAGGCTTCACACCAATGAGTGCAGAAAGGGGAATGACAGCATTAGTGTGGAGAAGTTACTGTGGGTGTGCAAACATCACAGACAGGTTGTTGCAAATGCTCACCACGTTTGATCAACACGGTCAGTGTCCCTGCAAGGAGGGGAGAAAGAGCTCAGAGGAGAAGCCATTTGGGCTTGAGGGCAGGGCAAAGGGTACGGAAGCACATGATCCTAAGAGCATCGTCAGTATACAAAGAGATTTTTCCATCACTTTCAACCCAGGCTCACTTTCATGTGTGAGCCATGGCCTGATTCTGATAAACTTCTTATCCTAAGAGTACCGAACATCCATCAGACAGTCACCACCACAGTTGGGGCAAAGTGGCCTTAGTAATTAATTCACTGCCCAACCTAGAAGAAGAAAGAGTTAGGAGTACAAGAACCAAAGACTGTCCTCAGGTGTCTTTTCTACTTTCCCCAACCGTGGCTGCTTTGGGAGCAGAGAAGGAGTAAGAAAACCAAGTTTCCTACTCACAGCTAGAAAACTATTTTTGCTCAAAGTAGTCATGTTGAATTTTATGCTGGAAATAAGAAATGGTGGTCTTCATGGTAGCTGTCGCCCTTCCAATCTGGGTAACAAAAGTTTCATTTCCACATTTCAAAATTTAATAGTGATTACTGAATTGGAAAAGAGTCACCAAGTGTAGTTCTGCAACAATCAACTTCAGAGACACAGAAATACAAACCCAAGGGCAGTCTCAGACAGAACACTTTTGGTACAATGCCTGCTATCCTTCACTCTGCAGGTTCTACAAACCAAAGTTCAGCTCCCAAACCCATCCTACACCCCCCACCCCCAATGGCACCTGCAGTGGTGCTTCCTGCTGGCGAGCCAGAAGGCACTGTCACAGGCATAGCAGTGGGCAGCCAGGTGGTCAGGTAGCCAACGGGTCATCTGCAAAACACATGGGACTAGGTTAGTGACAGGAGGTGGGCCATTCAGCTGGAGTCAACAGAGCCATACCAGGGGAGCAAGAGTCACAAGGACTACATGGGCTCCAGAGATATCAGCCCAGCGGGCCTGCTGTCAACAGCACAAGAAAGGCATTCAAATCATTTGCCCTGAAGGGATTCCAATCTCCCGAGACAAAGTTGCAGCAGCAATACCCTGGGTTTCCCTGAGAGCTGGCAGAGGCAATGGAGAGAGAGGCCCAGCTTGCTTAGTGTCCCTGGCTCAGAAATGATGAATGTAGGTTCCCAGAAGCTGAGATGCTGAAGCCTGATTACTATGAGCTTCTTCCCTGGTGAGGGACATGGGGCAGGGATGGAATGGAGAAGAACTGTAAGATAACTGCATGGATGGCACTCAGAGCAGGGGCTGAGCCTGTACCTCTGTGTCCTGTTTATCCACCTGCTCCCAGCTGGCTTCAGAGAAAATCTCTGTGCTGCAGCGAGACAAACAGTTCTGATCCAGATTGCTTTCCGAGTCGGGGATTGAAGTCTGTTGGCAAACAAACACAGCTGAACAGAATGAACTTGGTCTCCTCCCAAAAGAAGAAAGAAGCACTGGGGTCTATGGGAGGGCCTGAGTGCTAGGGTGCCAAATCTGTAGATCCATCAGTCATTTAGCCTGGATTACCAGGCGCAGAAAGCTGGGCTCAGCTGGAAGGTCACATGGATTTTGTGAAATGACACTGGAGTAGAAAGATGGGCCTTAGGCTTCCAAGAAGCAAGTGAAGTAACCGAGATGGAGAGGGAACTCTCAGTGTCAGTAGTTCTGGTGGGACAGTCCAGCCACTTCAGTTAAAACAGTGACTTGGGCATGCCCTTCTTTCTCTGAAGGGCTCTTTGGGACAATGAGAACATTATTAATTAGTATGAAGGAAAACCCAAAAGTTCCTTTGGACTGAAAGTCATTGAAAATGCCTGCTTTTAAATGTATGATGATTAATTATTTCAGAGCCTGGATTGCTGCTGTACTTGACAGACCCATCCAAAGAGGAAAGCCCCTCCTTGGGACCTCACTCCCCTGCTATCCTTATTTCCAGCCACCAACCCTCATTGGTGCTAAACCCTAAACAATACTAAGAAGAAGAAGAAGAAGAAGAAGGAAAAAATAATAATAATTCAATCCCTTCTCTCCATTTCTCCTGTCAGCATCTACACAGAGTGGTTACAAACATTTGCTCAAGAAATTAAGCTCTCAAAGCTCCCAAAGTCTGGGAAGGCTAACAGTTTACTAGCTACTAAGGTAGGATAAGCACTACAATTTGAGAGGATTGGCACTGCTTTATAAATGTCATTCTGGCCAGGAGTTCCAGGACCTTCTGAAGAGACAGGATACCTTTTATTTGGGGGTAAGGTGGGACTTAAGATAGGCGTCTCACTCTGTAGCCTAGATTAGAGTGGAATTCACTATGTAGCCCAGGTTGGCCTCAAACATGTAGAAATTCTTTGCCTCAACCTCCTAAGTGCTAAGATTATAGGTATGAGCCACCAAACCTGGCTGACAGAGGAGAGATTCCATCCCCATATCATGCATGCTAACTCCTTTCCTTTCTCTAACTGCCTTGATGGGAAAGGAAAACCATCACAGCAGAAAAGCAGCAGACTGCTGTTTTTATCTGAGGCTAATTTCCATTAACCTCTCTCAACAGGGCAACTTTGAACCATTCTAATCCTTTCAGAAATTGGTTCCAATCACCATGCACTAGGTGCAAAGGGCACCCAGCCTCCGTGTGCCATCTCCTTGGGCGACTTCAAAGGAATTATGAACTAACTCACCACTTCATCTCCAAAGTCCCCATTGAAGCGTAGGGAGCTGGTCAGGTACTGGCTCTCCAGGCGACTCTTGAGTTCCTGGACTTGTTTTTTCAAGGTCTCCACTTCCTGCTGGTGGCCAGACTCTATTTGACGGAGGCGCTGTTGGATCATATCCGTGTACACAGGCATACCATCATCATCCAGGTGGCTGCGGGAAGGCTGGTCAGGGCTGCTGGTGGTGGATGGCCTCCCTGAGTGGCTGTGTAGCCATTTATGGTGCAAGTTCCTCGAGTACAACTGGGCAGAGCTGCAGCCTGTGGCAGATAGCTGGCGGCTCAGTGAGTCCTTACTCCCCCCAGCCTCCCCATTGGCACAGTGCCCATTGGGTATGGGATACTTCTGGAGGGTGCCAAACCCTGCAGGCTGCTCTGAGGCTTTGTTTTCAGTCTCTAGGGCACCATTGCACATAATCACCTCTTTACATTTGTCTAAAGGCAAGGCACAAGGGGCCCGCATCAGGCTGAAGCTGCTGCCAGGGGATGAAGTCCTGTGTACCACAGAGTCCCATTGGGGCCTCTCACCTAGAAGCCTCTCAGCAGACCTGGGCTCCAGTGCTGGGGGAAGTATTTCTTTGCCACTAAATCTACTGCTGCTTGCCAGGCAAGGTCTATGATGGATTTGGGGCCCATTTTCTGACTTTACCTTATCTTCCATTAACATGTGCTTGGAAGTGTTCATGTTTGGTCCTCTTGTCTCGAATGGGACTTGGGGAGGTGGCAGAGAACTAGATCGTGAGGTACCAAGGACAATTTTTGCATCTACTGAGAGGGCAGGAGCTGCATCTTCCCTATCCTCTGCCATATCCCCTATTTGAGGCTGCTCCACAGAAACATCCTGGGGATCCTCTCCCCTGGGGGGAGCCTGGAGTGAACTGGGGAAAACAGTGTGCCCATCTTGCAGTTCAGGAATATCCTGTGAGAACAAAGATAAGCTGGGGTCTAGACGGGTTCTTGGAGTAGCATCATCCAGCACTGGTTCTTGATAAAGTACGACTGAGCCCTCGGTCGGCATCTCAGTCGGCATCTCGGTCGGCATCCTGCTCTCCTTTGCTAGGAGTGCCTCCTCTTTGACCTCTGGCATCTCAAGGTACCCCCTGTGGGCAGGCTCTTCTAATCCACTCTCCTCTTTGGTTGCCTCTTGCAAAATGTTCTCCATTTGTCCCTCAGCCACCCCAGCTGCCACAGATAGCTCAGCACCTCCTGGTACCCTGCTGATCTTCCCTAGGCTGTCCACAGCAGGAGACTCCTCTCCAGGGCCAGCCAGGCTGCTCAGCTCCAGTGAACGTCGGTGCTCCTGCCACTTCTCATTCAAACTGGGGTCACTGCTGCGCCGGCTGGCCAGGGGCAGTGTGTTGTCGCAGGCTGTGGTCAGATTGTCAAAAGATCTAGTCTTTGGTAGCCTAAAAGGAAAGTTTGGGGAAAATGAGAATCCTGGAGGCAATTCAGAGGGCAGTAGGAAACAACAGGTTTTAATAAGCCAGTTTCACAACTGAGCCATTACGGCAACATCTTTGAAGTAAGGCTCAGACTCCTAGAATGGGAGGGCTCCCCACAGGTACTATCTGCCCCACTGCCAGCAACCCCCTGCCCCCAGTAAGCTAACAGCACATACTATTTTTAAAAAGTATTCTTTTTTCTTTTTTGGATTTTTGAGACAAGGTCTCATACATCCCAGGCTGGCCTTAAACTCTCTTTGTTGCCCAAGGATGACCTTGAACTCCTGATCCTGCTTCTGCCTCTCAAGTGCCAGCATTACAAGCATGCACCACCACACTTGGTTTATGCAGTGCTGGGGATCAAACCCAGGGCTTCATGCATGCTAACGTTAAGTGTTCTATCAATTAAGCTGTATCCCCAGCCTAGAAAGGCATTCTTAATGATGCTCTCTGTTTCTCGGGTGGTGGCAAAGTAGCACTGCTGATTCTATGATATGTATTTTAAGTTCATTTATTATCTATCATGCTGATTTTAATAAAGCTAATTCACAAGTGGCAAAATCAAAACATCTATCTTCTCATAGCATCTGCTTTTCAAGCCTCAGACCAATTAGGGCAGGGAGGCAGAAGCAGAGAGTAGAGAGTAAAACACAAGTCAGAGTCACAAAGATTCAAGCGAAGTGTTCCATAACTGAGAAAATGCTCAGTGCACATGGTAGAATAATGTGCCAACAAGACCCAACTCATTTTCAAAGAGAAAGACACACACAGAGTGAGAAAACTTCAGAGATCTGAGATGTTATAGAGACAGACTATGTCCAGTGTTATGATCTCTAGGCATCCCTGGGTTATTTCTAACACAAGACCTAAGGCTTGTGGCATCATCCCTGGTCTCACCGGCTCAGGGGGGGATCATCAGGGCTGGTGCTGGGGACTGGATATGGTGCACAGCTGTCATCCACAGGGGTAGATGGGGATGGGCAGGGCAGGTACACTGCACTCCACAGCATCAGATTCCGCACATGGCAAACAGGGTACAGCACCTGAGAAAAGGGGGAGGACACAGATTTAAGCATAAGTCCCAATAAGTCTGTTAGAAATGCCTGGAAATGAGCAAGAATAAACACCCATCTGGGCCACAGACTGATAAGGATCATCAGTAGATGAAGGGCTAGCTCCCAAGAGGGCTGATCCAGGACTAGAGATTCTGTTTGCCAACATTTTTCATTTAAGTACCTCTTGTGAGTATGAGAATCTTATGAATTTTTTAGAGACTGACTTCTCATTAATTATTTCTCAGGTCACCTTTATTGAATGACTGATTTTCATCAGCTTTATTTGCAGCTTTTACTGGGTAAAAGTCATTCTGTTAGATGGTGAGTGTCTGTTCCCCTGAAACTTGGCTTTAACAGAAACTGTCAAACCTGTTTTATAGGATCACTTAAATTAATCATGTGAAAACAGAGGAAGTTCCAGTCAGGTATCGTGGCAGATCTCTGTGAGATTGAGGCCAGCTGAGGCTACAGTACACCCTGTCTCAAAAAACTAAAAAAAAAAGAAAAGAAAGGAATTTTCTTCCTGTATTGTTACTTCCCCAGTAAGCACAGTGAAGGAGAAAAGCTTAAATCTTTTTTTGATTACTAAACTATAGTGAGAAGCATATTAATAGTCCAGGCAAAGCAATATAACCTCTGATTAGCCTGCTTTTGACTTTTAAAGGGTTTAAGATACATCTGACAAAGGGACACTACCACATATTGATACACAGGCATGTACCTCCTTTTCTCTGCTTAACAGAAGGTATTCCTTTGGGGAACAAAGCCTTGAAAGGCCTCCATGTGTAAAGAGAATCACAGTCACACATGCCGATGTCAGAAGTAGTTTTGTGTTGAGACAGAAACTGCAGTAAGTATCACTGCCTGGTTCCTGGGGAAGGTGCTGGGAGGCTGGGGGCAGACCTTTCTTAACCAGAAAGGGCATCTGAGAAACTACTTGAGTGCCTCTTCCACTGGTGAGATAAAACAGGTTAGGAATACATTAAGCTCTGGAAGACATTCCTGCCTCAGGTGGCAAAGTAGAGATGCGTATTACACCAAACCACCCTGACTGAACACAGATTGGTCAGGGGCAGGTTGGAGCATTATCAGGAAACAGGCTTTGCTTAGACAGAATGATGGAAAATGGAAAAATAGAACTGGGCCCTTGAGACAGCAGACTAGCTTTCACAGAAACAGGCACTACTCAAACAGGATCCCATATGCCTCCCACCCCCAAATCCCTTCTGCTGATCAGGGAAACGGGCTGAAGGGTACATACGGCTTCTGACTGAGAGGAATATAGGAGGTTTTTGAAAGCCTTGTTGCCTGTCCGAAGAAGTGACCACACAGAGCACGTCCGTTCCTGAGTATGCTTTTCCCCTCTCTCCTTGGCGTTGTTGCACAGGAATGTTCCAAAGAGGCAGGAATAGGTATGCTGTACCAGTTTCACCTGCAGGAGTACAACAAGGCAAAATCATATATAGTGCACATGTTCTAGGGAAGGAAGTCAGCTCAGCTGAGATACTCTACTCTGACATTCCTGAGAACACTTTACCATACTCAAGGGAGCGGGGGGAGGAGATGTGTACAGACAGCAGGCCATTATGTATGGCCTGCTCCTCACAATCACAACCACCAGCACTTCAGAGTCAGAGATTGATGTACCCCTATTCCTCTTAGCTTCCCCACTAAACAGTCTCTGAAACTTTAAGTTGATAGCCCACCTTCATAGTATAAGAGAGTATATATGTTGGGTATAGAAGCAGGTTAGGGTAAACTCTAGGCTGAGCTGAAAACACACTTGTAAAAGTACATGTTTACTCAACAAATTATTAGTGAATATTTCACATGACCCAGACAGGACTAGTGTAGGATATACAGGAAGAACAGCCAGATCTCCGGTCCCGGTGGAGTTTACTCTAGCTGACAGGGATACAGACAACAATAAGGCAGGGTGAGGACAGGGTATGGATGGAAGTGAGAATAGGTCACATAAGTATGTAGGGGAAAATGCTCTAGGCAGAGGCAACCGTTAGCAAATGACTTTGAGGTGAGAGTACATGCCTAAGATGCTTAAAGAACGACAAAACGGCCAGCGTGATGAAAGGAATATTACAAGGGAAAGAACAATACTGTATGAGCCTAGACAGGTAATCTGCAAGAAGGCATGCAGGCCATTTTAAGGACTTGGGTTATTACTTTATGTGTAATGTAGCCACTTGACTTCGCTGAGCAGAAGAATGATACTGTTTCTCTAATATTTTAGAAGGAATCTTCTGTGTTAGGTTAATTTTGTGGAACTAGGGCAGGAGATAATTGGTGGTTTAGACCAGTGTGGCACTACTAGAAGTGGAAAGAGTAAGTTGGTTTTAGATATTTTGAAAGCAAAACTACAGACTCTCAACAGATTGGACATAAAATCCAAGAGTAGGGAATGACATAAAGGTTTTTGCCTTAAACGACTAAAATGATGGAGCTCTATACAGTAAGGATGTGAGACTCCTGGAACATCAGGTTTTAGGTAGGAAAATACAGAAACCAAGAAGCAAATTTTAAATGTTTTCAATTTGAAGATGTCATTAAGACAAGTAGAGCTATTGAATATTTAGATAATGTGAGGCTGGATTTAAGTGAAAGGTCTGAGCTGAAAGTGTGCACACGTCAGATGCAGAGCATTCAGATGTCAAAGTCCCTATGCTAATGAGATCCTTAGTGAGGGAGTTAGGTGGAAAAGTACTCTGGAGGCTGAGCCCTATAGCATTTCAACATTCAAACCTGGAAAAACCAAAAAGAATCAGCAAAGGGGAGAGAAATGACCAGCCAGAGATGTAAGGGGAAAACTAAGAGTCATGACTACTATAAATTTCAAGAAAGGAGTTAAGGGGTTAACTTAAATGTGCTAATGGTAATAATGGACCAAAAAGATGAACAATATACATGGGTGCATGTATATAATCCCAGCACTTGGGAGGCAAAGGCAAATTTCAAGGTTAGGTTAGGCTATGTAGCAAGTGCCAGACTAGGCAGAACTACACAGCAAGACCCTATTTACAAAAACAGACAGAAAAGATAGAGAGACTACACGTCAATCACTAGATTAGTCACACAAAAGTCATGGCTACCCTAATGAGAACAGCTTTGGGACCAAGGAAAGGCTTTTTGACAAGATGGAAGCATGCTTGTATGCTACAGTTGTGATCTGGTAGAGAGGGAAACATGCTAATGCAGAAGACAGGAAATGCTGCAGCTAGTCAGTGGAAATGAGGGGATGGGAGCTGGAGGAAAAGGGCCAGAGTGCTGAAAAGGGCAAGAAGAGAATATTTTCTATCAAAGGAAAGGGGACAGGAGCATGGGATCATCTGGTTGTTTCTATTTCTTTCTTTCTTTCTTTCTTTTTCTTTCTTTCTTTCTTTCTTTCTTTCTTTCTTTCTTTCTTTTTTTTTAGGTTTTGAGCACAGCCTTTGGAAGTTAAGTTTAAAACAAACTCAAGGATTGCAGAAGCAAACCTGGTACATCTTAATTCACTGAGTGAAAAAAATTCATGTTTACTACTGTCACTTTTAAATAAAAGTGAGAGAGCCAGGCGTGGTGGTGCATGCCTTTAATCCCAGCACTTGGGAGGCAGAAGCAGGTGGATCTCTGTGAGTTCAAGGCTAGCCTGGTCTACATAGTGAGTTCCAGGACAGCTGGGGCTACAGGGAGACGCTGTCTCAAAAACAATGAATGAATGAATGAATGAATGAATGAATGAATGGAGAGAAAGCAGTTATTCCCTATTAAATTTGAAAAAGATGCATAGCTTTGTATGAAAATGGTCCACTAACATTTGTTGGTTTAGGTGGTTCCAAAAATATAGAATCCGCCTACCTTGTCTACATAGTGAGTTCCAGGACAGCTGGGGCTACAGGGAGACCCTGTCTCAAAAAGACCAAAAAAAACCAAAAAAAAAAAAAAAAAAAAACCAAAAAAAAAATACAGAATCATTAGCTACAAACTTACAAGGAATGCTTCATTGAACTCAAAAGAGCAAGGAAATTGCCTCTGAAGCTGATGAACACAGTCAAGCCATTGTAGAAACACTGGGCAACGCTCGTTCAGATCATCTGAGTTCTCCCCATGACCACACCGGTCAGCAAATTTATGGCCAAAATCCAGCCATTCCATCTCCACAAGGACCTGGAAACCCTGCAGGGAGGTACCCAGGAGAGATCATTTATGCTGGATCATCTCACCTTGTGACAGTACTGAGCCTGGTGTCACCAACAGCAAGCTCCTTTAACATCCTCCACATAACCAAACGTTCTCTCTGTAATAACACACACACTTAGGAGAATTTCCCAATTCACTAAACTCCATTCTGTTTCATTTAAAAGACACTATGCATCTATATACATATCTTTCCTGAGTCTATTTATATGTTTAGCATCTCTCATTTCTACATAAATACCACCCACCCAAATTTCTATCTTATTTTGAAAATTTTGCCTTTAATGTCACATTTACAAAGCCCTATTTGTAAAAATCCTTTTCCACAGCAGATTTTACAAATACTTATATTTTAGATCACTTTGGTTTTTGCTCTTGCATATTTAACACAAAGATGGTCATTTCAGAGCAGATTTCCTTCTCCACAGAATACTATGTGCAACTATACAGACCCATTATCAAAAGTATGCTCACATTCTTTTGCAGAAGCCCATGTTTCTGAGGCAGACAAAACTTTTTCAAATAGAAAAGCTGCAAAGGTAACATTTCTATAGCCTCGATACCTGTTATCCAAAAATCTGCTCTATTGTAAGAAATATAAGAACAGTGCACAAGACACTCCTATCATACAGCTCTAACTGGAGGAGGCATGATTACAACAAATTGCACTTTCTTTAGATCTGTACCACTCCCCTAACTGATCATACAACCCTCCAAAACATTTCCCCAACTTATTCTGAGATATGGACTTCCTCCCTTGGACACACTCACCTCTATAGTTCTGTAATAAGGGTCCAGCAGGAGCTTAGCCAATGCCACAATCTGGGGAGTGCGATCCCAGCCATCTGAGCAGTGTACTAGCACTGGTCGCTGATCACGATCCACAGCATGCACCACCAGAAGTGCCGATTTCAAAAGCACAGACAGATGATGGAGCCATTTTGTACTTTCAAGAGCTGAAAGCCAACTATAAAAACAGGAGAAGGTAAGAAAATACTGATTTTATGGCATCATGTCCAATGCCTGTCAGATTAAAAATTCCCCAAGACCTTTATCTCTAAATACAGTATTGCTAAAACAAACAGAAAGTCTATATTTATAAAGCATGCTCATGTATGAAAGTCAAGCTCTACAATCAAGAGGAAAGCCTTAGAAAAAAGAACTGTAATTAGTAATACCATATTGTTTCTATCACTTTTTTAAAAAATAAGAGTAAAAACAAATCAGTTTATCTGGTCCAATTGTATGTCCTTAAACACCCAAGAGGGAAGTATAACCAAAGATTAAAGGGGCCAACATAATATCATAAGAGCATACATATACATAACTAAAAGTTACTCGACAAACAACAAAGCCAGACAGGCGATACCTTCAGTCGAGTTGTTGCCTAGGATAGATAAAGGCTCTTCCAGAAAGTAACCCAACATACTACTGGAAAAATGAACAGCAGACCCCAATTCTATCCAAAGGAATACTGACAATGGATTGCCGTAGATGAGGAACAGCTGACCCTCCTGGAACAGGGACCTCTGGCTGACTAGATTTACCAGA